AGAGCTGAATGTACTGATCTCGTATCGAGGTATCAGTTACGAATAGCAATTAATCAGATAGCAGATGATACCAATCATCGCTCGGCAAATCAGTCTGTGTGGCCATTGGGTGCGTTGAATGTTTTTGTTGATGATAGACTCGACTGTCCCTATGGCCCCTGGTTGTCTGTCACTCTGTACACATGAGCGTTAGCTGGTCGCCATTTACATTCAGTTCTGCAGGTCCTGGGAAAGTGATCATAAAAGGTGATGCTGAACTTCCGATCTTCCATTCGATAATATCTGCTGCACACTCAAGCTCGGGACATGTATTCTGGGAAAACATCCCAATTTCCTGAGTTTTGCTTCTGGCTCACCATGGCGGGTTTCTCAAGTCTTCGACCAACCACCCACGGAGACATTGCAACCCAAGATTCCGTTTATCTACTATAAGATTGGCGGATCTTTCGTGTAACGTCAAGTGATGATCACCACAACCGCCAAAATTATCAGAGCAAAGACCATCGACAGCGGCCTCTGTTCGTTAACACCAGTCGATACATCCTGTCACAAGAGAAGACTCGCGTTAGAGTCTCGATAGACCTTTCCACACTGGGCTCACTGTCTTGGTCGCCATCTTGCATGCAACCATTCTCGGTTGATGGTAAATGCTCCTCCATGACCTTGCCAATCTCGTTCAAGACCTCCGACTCGCTGTCGTATTGCAAAGTCCGGCATTTTTGGATCATAGTGCTAAGAATTAGATTGTGTGGTATTCGGGAATTTGCCGGCATCGTACAGTTCTTCGATCTCCTTGTCTGTGTTGCCGTGATAGGATTGCCACGTTCCCGAAATCTCAAAAAGGCACAACCTAGCGCGTACAGTTCGATATGTGCGCTCGGCTCTAAGGACTTGCTCGCAGAGAGGTGAAATCCCTCGTGAATGCTCTGGTTCGTCATCTACTGAAGAGCCAGCAAAATCACACAGCTGAAGGTCGTCCTGCTTGTCGAGCAGAAGATTATGGGTTCCGATGTCGATGGGGAAAACTCTCTCGTCATGGATTTATTGGATCGCCTCAGTGACCCGCTTGGACCGTTTCAAGATTTGCTGTGTGGTTGAAAGCTCATTCTTCTGTTGTGGTTCAATAAGGCGCGCACGTATGGGGTCCTCGGCACTCTTGAGGACGAATCCTTTGTCGTCAATGGAGATACACTTGACAATTCGACGGTGGTTCATTAGGGATGGCGCGTTTGATTACAGTGCGGTCGTCCGGGGGAAGCACAGCGCCTGAGACGCCATGCGCATTCATCCGGATATTCCAAATCCGACCTTTCAGCTTCTCTCCCCAGTCAGCCACTTTGAGTCAAGCTTGTATGCATAGCCCATAGAAAGAATAACACGAGAGAGACGATAGATGTCCGACTTTGCAACTGGGAAGGTTGCCGCTCTCCATGGGCGAGTCAAAATGCTTCGAGAAAAGGGTCAAGAGAAAGATACAAGGTACGAGTACAAAGCTGTCATACCAGGACTAAAACGAACTTGAACGAATCACATAAGGTTCTTTAGTGCCCTGGCATCCTTGGCGGGAGTTACGCTAGCCTTGGCTAGCTGCTTAACAAGTATTAACAGGCATATACCTACCTAGGTAGGTAGGCCGAGAACCTCCTGTAGAGTGCTCTGGGCCTACTGAAACTGAATACGTAGAGTAATATACAACCAAAAGCTCTGTTTAAGAAGCCTACTGGTATTCACATCGAATGGCCGAGACGTTGTTATGCATTGGGTACCAACGGTCTTCGCATCAACCACATCACCGCCTGGCCGCCATATTCAATGTTCAGTGTTATCGGGGTTGGAGAAATGTGGAAAATGCGGGGTTCCAAGATCGCCAGAAAAAGTGCTTGCGGACACTGAACTGAAGAGGCGGTGATCAGCATCATCTTTGCCGCCGCCACTACTGTCGTCGCCGTCGTCGTCGAATCCCCATTCTCACTCACCCTCTCACTCTCTCTCGTCGCTTCAGGAAACTCAATGACATCGACGAGGTTATCCTTGTCTGTTGCTCCAGGAGTGAGCTGACTTCTTGTTGCATCTTTCCTTTGGCCTGCGCGTTCCTTTTCGGTGACACCTCTCGCATTGGATTGTCTTCCCTCCTGTGCCCTAGAGCGTTCTCGCTACATGCCGTTGATACTTCACCCCTATCAAATCGCAACCATACGCTAGACTGCCCGCAACGACAGCATGGCGACTCATACCGAAGTTATCACGCCCTCGTCCTCCCGCACAACCCCGGCCCAAGTGCGCCGCCGTTCCTCCTCTCACTCGATCCAAAAGAAGCCCTGGCAGCATGCCCATCGATCGTCCTTTCACTCGACCCAGTCCCGACCGGACCCTGAAGAGATTCAACGCCTTTCAGAGCACATTTCGAGACAAACCACTCGGTCTTCGCACCGTCGCGACCCAAAATGGTACAAGATTCGTTGGTTCAGGGGCATGATTGACGACGTCCAGAGACGGGCGCCGTACTACTGGAGTGATTGGAAGGATGCTTGGGATTATAGAGTCATCCCTGCCACCGTATACATGTACTTTGCCAAGTACGAGCAATCCATATACAATCTATCGTCTGCACGGAATTTACACTTCTTCTCTTTCATTGAAGTCTCCCATTTCCAACCCTCTTCCCCGTCGATATCCTCGCACGCTGATGTCGTATGCGGGCGCTGACTGCTGTTCTAGCATCCTGCCGGCATTGGCATTCTCCCTCGACATGTTCACAAAGACCCACAACTCGTACGGCGTCAACGAAGTCCTGCTGTCGTCGGTCATGGCCTGTGTGGTTTTCTCCCTTTTCGCCGCTCAGCCACTCGTCATCGTGGGTGTCACCGGTCCCATCACCGTCTTCTCTTATACGGTGTACGACATCGTCGTCCCCCATGGCACCAACTTCTTCGCCTTCATGGCCTGGATCGGCATCTGGTCGCTGATTATGCATTGGTTGCTGGCCATCACCAACAGTTGCAATGCATTGACCTACGTTACGCGGTTCAGCTGTGATACCTTTGGGTTCTACGTGGCTTTCATCTATCTGCAAAAGGGTATCCAAGTCCTGACCCGACAGTGGGGGTTGGCCGGTGAAACGAGTGCCTATCTGTCCGTCATGGTTAGTCTGCTCGTCTTGGGGTTTGCATACGGCTGTGGTGTTCTGGGCGAAAGCAACCTGCTGCAACGCCATGTGCGGAAGTTTATCGAGGACTATGGCACGCCGCTGACAATCGTCTTCTTCACTGGGTTCGTCCATATCGGCCATATGAAGAATGTCCATGTCGAGACACTACCGACAAGCAAGTCGTTCCACCCGACTGCTGACCGTGGCTGGTTCGTCCATTTTTGGGATATCAGCGTGGGAGAGGTCTTCTTGGCAATTCCCTTTGCGATCCTGCTGACAATTCTGTTTTGGTTTGATCATAACGGTAGGTACCGCGTATCGGATCTTGGTTGGCATTCATCTGACTCAAAGTTAGTGTCATCTCTCATTGCTCAGGGGACGGAATTTCCTCTCCGTAAACCACCAGGCTTCCACTGGGATATTTTCCTCTTGGGTCTCACCACGGGCCTAGCCGGACTTCTGGGCATCCCTTTCCCAAATGGCCTCATCCCTCAGGCGCCATTTCATACAAACGCCCTTTGCGTTACAAGGCAAGTTGTCGACGAGAAGGCGAGAGGCCATATTGTCCGGGTCACAGATCACGTCGTTGAACAGCGCTTCAGCAACCTCGCACAAGGGCTGTTGTTCCTGGTCACAATGAGCGGTCCACTACTGGTCGTCCTTCATCTCATCCCCCAGGGCGTGCTGGCCGGTTTGTTCTTCGTCATGGGTGTCCAAGCCCTCGTGGGCAACGGCATTACTCAAAAGTTGCTCTTCCTGGCCCGGGACAAAGAGTTGACGGATGCGACGGATCCATTGGCAAGAATTGAGCGTCGTGTCGCCATATGGGCCTTTGTGGCCTGTGAACTAATCGGCTTTGGCGCCACCTTTGCTATATCCCAAACCATCGCCGCGATCGGATTCCCAGTCATCATTCTCCTCCTCATCCCCTTCCGCACCTGGCTCATGCCGAAGTGGTTCCGGGAGGAAGAACTTCGAGCCCTCGACGCGCCAACGGCCGGCGCCTTCGTCATGGAGAGCGTCGGCGGCGCGTACGGGGAAAGCGAAGAGAGCACGCCGGCGACCGGAGGGACACCGCCGGACGAGAACGACGAAATCGCCGTCGTGGACGATACGTTGGAGAGGGGTGAGAGTCACGAACTCCAGAGCGTTCTGCCAAACAAAAGATCTCCGGATAGAAGTAGCATCGCGACGAGGCGGACAGGCAGTCACAGCGACACGCAGCGGCCCGACGTGGACATGAGGAAGAGGAGTCGAAGTTCGCTGAACAGACGGGGAGGATAGGATAGATATTGAGGAAGATGTGTGTGTGTGTGTGTATCCACAGCAGACTAACCATGAAAAGACACACTAGATGGATATATGGTGGATACAGAGACAGACGATGGAGACATGATGGACAGATCTCAGCGGCTGGTTGGAGAATCTATATACAACCGTTGGTGGCGGTGGTGAGGAAGAGGCTTTGGGGAAGCCCTCCCCCGACCTCCCAAGTTCCCTCTTCCAAACAAAGACTTCTATGGATGGTGCCAGCAAAGGAATGTACCTTGGTTGGAAGCGTGGACGTGGAACCGTTGGGGCTCGCATATAGGAAGGATTCTTATTTTCAGAACTTAGTAGCATCAGCCAGCCTTTAGAAAGTTACACGGCGAGACGTATGCGATCGATATGCGACGTGGTTGTTCAAATGAAAGGAAATACAAAGCGGTCCCAGAATATGGGCCATGGACTCCAAACTCAACGTGATTCTTCATCATCGTCACTGCATTTTTGCGCGCTGCCCTCCCAACATCTCGTTGATCCACCCGTGCGATCAACAACAGGTGAAGGAGATCTTTTTTCTTCCTTGCTGTCACAACTCGGCTCCAAACCTGACCACTCCAGAAGCAAACCTGCGCCCTTGCTGAAGCACATCAGACGCCAACGCCTTGCAAATCCCGACCCAATCCCGCAAAGTCCCAGCCCGGCTCACCCTCCCACTCCCGCCACTGCTCCCGACCGTGGCCGTAAACATACCCATCATGCTCATCCCGACAGTGTCGTCAAAGTGTAGAATGCCGACCAGGACGAGCAAGCTGAACAGACTGCACGCGGAGATGACGTAGAGGCACTTGAGGCGCAGGATCTGGCGGCGGCGGCGGTCGTCGCGGTCGTCGTGGTCGGCCGAGAAGATGTCGTGCTGGGTGGAGAAGTAGGCGAGCATGAGGGCGATCGAGATGGCGATCCAGGCCAGCAGACTGCGGCTGAGCCGGAGGAGGTCGGGCTCCGTGGCCCGCGTGGCCCGGAAGACCTGCAGGCACCCGAACGACAGCAGGATCGAGAGACTGCAGAGCCGCACCAGCACCGCCAAGGGACTGTAGTGAAGCAGCCAGCGCGCCATCAGCGACGAGGCGAACATGTGTGCGAGGTAAGCCGCTGCGCCGGCCTGGAGACGAGGCAACAAAAACAGACCGCCCGTTAGCCTTGGGTCGCTTTTCATTTTGTGGAGCGGTTCGACAAAGGGAAGGCGGATATTGGGTTCTTTTGCCTTTTCCCTGAGAGAAGGCAAGGCGAGGCTGGGCCCAAGGTGATACCCGGTTCGAACGTGGGCCGGATCGTGATGTACATCCCTTCCAGGATGCAATGGGAGACGAATGAAAGGCGTGTGTGCACACATAGAACGAGCACTGGGAACAAAAGACGTAAGGACAGCAGAACAATACATACCCAGAGAAAGCTCAAGCATACTTGGGCAACGGCCATGCGTTTGAAGATCGGATTCTCCAGCAGCGGTGCACTGTTTCCAGCACCGGCACCAGCGCCACTAGCAACGCCAATGCCTTCATGGTCATTCGCCGACGACTTGAACAAAGACGATGTGGTGCTCCCCGTCGTTGTGCCGTAGTCCGAGACGAGTCGATAGATACTGAAACAAGTCTGACAAGCCCACCACGCGGCCGAAACGGTGGAGAGAGCCCGACACAGCAAGAGCGGCACGTGCCACCGAGGCTGGACGCCCAGAAGAACGGCTACCCGTGGATAGCGAGCTGACATGGCGACGCTGGCGATGTTGGCGTTCTCGACGACACCGGGCCCGGGGCCAGGCTGGGCCGGTGGTGACCGGGACGGGGCTGGAGCAACAGCAGCATGCCCGATGCCCCCGTTGCGTCGAGCAAAAGCATCGCCATATGATGGTGGGCCCGGATCCCCCGTGTTCGCCAGTTGGAAATGGGTTCTGCAGCGCTATGGCGGCTGCATAGCCTTTGCCAGGATCTTCTGAGGTGGTGCCGCCGTCAAAGCAGGGAAAGTAGTAAGCAATCTCTTCCTCGTCGAGTCCCAGTTCAAACTCCCGGTCTCCGGATGATCAAGGTCGACTCTAGACGTGTGTTAAGGCGAGAAAATAGCCATCCCTTAACGGAGGACGAGAGGAAAAAGCAAAGCGAAAAGAGGCGCGTGACCTTTATATATGCAAACATGATAAGGGCAGCACTCGAACCACAGGAGAATCAAAGGGGTGCTCGCTTCAAACTACCCCAGACTCTTGGCGACAGATCCAGTCCAGCAAGTTCAGCTGGTAACAGTGGTTATTACCTCCGTCTGAACCAGGTGGAAAAGGGTTAGTCCAGGTAGGCATTGGTTGACCCAAAGGAGGCCGTAAGAGGCGTTCCAGTGGCGCAAGAACGACTGGTCAGGTACATGGAATGGAAACTCGACAAGAGCAGAAATGGCTAAAGTAGCTAGGGTTGTTTCCAACGATCCGATCATGATTTCAAAGCTACCATGCATGGGCTGGTGGAATCAACGATAGAAACCAGCCCATCCCCCTTATCTCATGTCCCCAACCGGGTGCTGTTAGCACCTTCGTCACAGCCGTATTGTTGCTGATTCCGGTCCCGTACTGCAACAGTCCGATCCCACCCCATTCCGTCCAAAGGCAAAATATCCATCGTGGGTATATCATCAAACGCGTAACCTTATCGCATCCCAAAAAGTGCTATCGTGACTAGGCCGCTGCATCGACCAGCGAAGACGAACAGGCCAGAAGTAATCGTTCAAGGAAGATGATTCGGGGTCAGTCGACAACTTCTATCTGTCCTCGATGACCGAGCAGGATAGCACAGGATACCGGCTGAAGCGTTTAGAAACCATGGACCTGGCTCCAATTTAGTACGTCGTCATAGCATATGAAGCAGCGGGATCTTCCTACCTTGATAGTCTTTGCGTCGAGTTCGAGGCCGTCCTTGGCGACCAGGAATTCTTGAACATCTTTGCGTTGATCACCCTGAAGCTGAATCACCTCGCCCATCTCGCTGTCCGTGACGATTGTGCCATTGCAAGCTTTATCTCTTGTTAGCTAGTGTTTGGTGGATGGCGGACGGTCTTTTCCCTCTTTCCACATACCGAATTTCTTCTTGATGACCTTGAGGATCTTCTTTTGGTCGAATTTCTTAGGAAGGCCTTGGACCGTGGTCAAAGTCTTACGACCATTGCGCTGCTGGATACGAATGTGGATGTAATTCTGGGATTGCTTCGCTTCCCCAGTGTCGTCGTCGGCCTCCGCGAAGGGGTCTGTGAGGCAAAGCAGTTAAGTCATGAGTCACACAAGGGTGGTATGAGCGCGTTCTCCAAACTGGGGTCGCAGCAAGTGATGGACGGCGCATCTGAAGAGCGGTCGCCATCAGTCACTCTCACAAGCAGTCGCTGTCGAGGTACACGACAGCGAACAGCTGTTTGGTGATGAATATCGGTAGATGTGGCGAGAGGGGTTTGAGGAGAGGGTGAAAGAGGGGTCGGCTTACCAAAGGTTTTGAGGTTTTGGATAGTAGTTGACATAAACTCGTTTGTTTCGAGAAACGGGTTGATTCGAAAAGAGTAGTGTCGGTTGTTGGAGGGTAAAGGCTACTGGATTTCTGACTTGAAAGCGAAAGGGTTTGGTGTTGAGTGGAGAGTCTGGTGATGAGTTGTTGATATGAAGAGAAGAGAGAAAAGGAACGGGGAGCAGGAAAAAGGGCTGATGCAAGAGGCGAACGCAGGGACTGGGCAGGTGAGTGGTGGTAGTAGGCAATAGTGGGGTGGGCGAAGGAGGGAAGGAACCCGAAAGAATCGCCGCACCTATTGTGCCCTGATGCCCCCAATTGCCCCAAGAAGCGCCTGCAAGGAGCCACTGCCACAGGGTGGCACCAACTCGACCCCCTGGGACGCGTGGCAAAAATAATTGGCGGGCTCCAGAGGTTCCAAGTTCTAGGTTCCAGCTTCCAGGCTGCTGCACAGCGCTGGCCCCCAGTGCGTTCTACCAAGTAGTTAAGGTTCGTGTTTGCCCCCCCCCCAGGAACAGTTGGGGAATTAATTACAAGCTATCGGCATGTGAGATATCGCAACGACAATCCCGGCCATTCCTTTGTTTCCATAGACAAAACTTGGACGTGACTCGGCATCCTCTTTGTTGCATCTATGCCACACTCGGCATTGCAGCTCTTTTGGCAGGAGACCCAGGTGAGGTCCAACAGTGACCGGTCCCCAAAATGCTAGAGAAGACAGCGCCGTGCAAAGCCAGCAATTGCTGCATACAAAATTCCCCTGGCATTCTTCGCATAATGAACCTTCGTCCGCCTGGATCTACCAGCTGTCATGTTGAAGCAGCGGGCGGCGGCGGTGCCGCTGGTCCTCTCGCATTCGGCGGTGGCGGTAGAAACAGGGGCATATATGTCTGCGAGGGATGAGTCGCTTCTCAGTACTCTAGGTTTAATATAACACGACATACCACGCCAACAGCAAGCACTTTCAAATATATCAGCCTGAGAGTCATGAATGCGAGGACCGTTCTACCACTTACCAGCCATGCCAAATGACAAGTACCCGGGCGTACCGTTGGGACTCTGCTTCTGGGCTGGTGTCTCGCCCAACCAGTTCAGAAGAGCAGTTAATAGAGCAAACCTGGTCCCGTTAATCCAAAGCGGCGGTCCTCCTTTCACTCCTCTTACCACCCAAGCATCCTGATCGTTGTTAGCGACAACTACTACGACGGAGGAGGTGCCTCTCACCTATTTCTTGTAAACATCTACCTTTTGCGTTAGCATGGCATTTCAAAAGCAACACAGTCGCGTCTCCCACTTACAGCTGCCATGGGCATGGTGCTCGTTAGAGTCGAGCTGAAATCAGCGGGCTTCTCGTCTTTGGGCTCGACATAGGGAATGACTGAATGACCTTCGTCAGCTTCTCTCTGCATGCCTCAAGAGCTGATGAGGCTCCCAATACTGACCGAGATCCGCCCGTCTCATATCTTTCTTAGCAGACATGACTGGCGTCCAGCAGTACCAAAATAATTCCGTTCAGAAATTGGATGGAATGTGAAAATCAGCGTCCAGAGCAAGGACTCGATCGAAGGGGCTTTGTTGGCAAAACTTCGGATCTCGCGACATTCCAGCGGCAAGTGATACGAGGTCACGTGTAGGCTCACCCGATCCCTTGAAATGTGAGCTTAATATCGCTGCCTTTAGGAAGATCAATCGGCTTGCGGCCCCAGAATAGAGCGGCATCACTCCCGTCCGCATTGATACAAAATTTGACGGAATGCGCTTGCGCCCTCTTCTCTGCTCCTTGGTCGAGAGCTTCATTCTAACTTTTGAGACCAAATTCTTTCGGCCAGCAGAGCATCCTTTCTGCGCGATCCTAACCAAGATGGCTCACCCTGTGGCCAGATTCTCAAGCAAGAGTCTCAAGTTATCCTTGGCCCTGACTACCTCTGGTCAAACCTATTCAATCTGCCCTCAATGCGCCCATCGATTACCCTCTGTCTACAACCGTCAATTCACAACCACTCGGCGCAGAAATGCTGGTGCAGGCATCGTTCAGAACATTCCAAACATCGACTCCAAGCTCCCCAAACATGTATCCATGAAGAGTCAGATGAAAAAGGCCAATAGGCAACAGATAGGCACTGATCTAGGAAAGCTGCCTCAGACCTTCATCCTTCCTGCCGCTAAAGACCTACCGGGATGGATGAGTTCCAATTTCTTCAAGAGAACAAGGATTCATTGGCTGCAATTTAAGACCGCTGTCAAAGACTGGTGGAGGTAGGGATACGACTCATTGTTTTCCCCCTCCCAAAACCGCAAGGGCTGACCTGCTTCCCAGCTTAGTGGTCTTTCTTAAATGGGACGTCAAGAGAGACCCTCTCACTGGGAAGAAAATGAGGAGATCAATGGAGCTATCCCAGAGAAATCAGATTGCGCGAGATCTACACAAGGACTTTCACGAGGCTTTAAGTGAAGGAGACCTCAAAAGGCTACAGACAATTTGCTGCGAGGGACTAATGGCACAGGCAAGGTTGCGGGTCGAGCAGCGGAAAGCCTTGCGCCGGAGAAAAGAACCATGGGTGCTGCTGAGCTACTCGGGTATTCGATATCCAGCTTGGCTTGAGAGATGGCCCATCTCCGTGCTTCTACCCGCAGCAAGCACCAGGGTTGTCTCCGACAGGCTTGCCCCATTGCCCTTCGCAGACACCTATCTCCGACAATGCATTGTACGCATCAACAGCGTTCAGAACTACCTGCTCGCCGACAGTGACAAGGATGTCATGCTAAAACACACTGATTACGTGGTGATACAAAAAATGACTGTCAAGGGCGAAGAAGGGCCGTGGAAGATATGGGGCCTCACCGAGCCATCCACCATGAAGGAGGTCGATGGCTTGCTTGCCGGCAAAGGACAGGAAGCGACCACTCTGGCAGAGAGGATACGGGACAAGGTGGCTGGCATTGCAGGCCTCTAGTCGTAGACAACGGATAAGATTGCCTGTCTTGCCACTGCCCAATGGGCTCGTCTATTGATCAACTACGAGCCAAACCCAACACCGGCACCAACCCGAGATGATTCCCAACCACATTTTCTCATACTGCCTTCCTGCGGCATGCCGAGCCAAGTTTGTCACCAGCAGAAAGAAGATCAAAGAGCCCGCAATAATTACGAGGAGCAGATCTGAAACTTGCCTTCTGAACTACTCGCCGAGCACCAGACCCCTTTGAAATCCGTCTCCCTGATCGTACACGGACGGTATTTCGCTTGGAAAACGGCAAGAATTTATCGCCTGACTAACTGGCTGACCTGCCCACAACTGGTTACGCATTACGGAGTGCGGAGTACAGAGCGAGATAGGTCCGAGTCACTAAACAAACTCTGTATGGAGTGTGAGGAAGCACTGGCAGTCATGAAACTACACTACATACACGATACATACCCTGTGATCGACGGTCTTGTTTGGTCATACGGTATGTACATACCTATAGATGACCATACATAGTACGGGTGAGGGGCCGGAGGAGTAGGACAGGAGCTGTTGTGTCGTTGAATCCAATCAATCAATCAATCAATCAATCAATCCGACCAGTCATGCATGGATGTATGTATGTGTGGGATGATGTGCGCTGACCGCATAATACATATGGTATCCTCGCAGCCTCTTTCTGCTTCCTACATATGTACTCTATATATGTATGGAAGCCGCCGTCTCGCTTTGTGGCGCCTTGACGGCTGCTGAGCGGACATGGTCCCGAGAGTCGGCTTTGATTTTGAGCATCATACGTAGGGAGGTAGCATGTGTGGCCTTCCCTGCCTGACGCAAGACCACTGAACAAAAGTATTCAAGACATCGGCTGTGAGTTTGTACAGACGACCTTCCGCATTTTTTTCTCCTTGGCCGAACTTTGTACCCCATGTGACATGTCAAGTTGTATAACCCACCAACTCCGGTTCTGCCCCTCGACCATCGGTTCCAGAGCCATACATATGTATATATAGACATCATCAGAGTGATTTGCAGCTCTGCTATGAGCATGACACGTAACAGGGCATCGCTGTGGTCATCAATGTCATAACGTCGTAAGATGCACCCCAGGAAATCCACCATGCGATCCTGTCCATTCTACTAAACAGCCAATGAAGATCTCCTCGTATCGACTCATATCCTTCTGGGCATCCGTCCCCTTCTCGTTGATGAGGTAATGAATACTGAAAGGAATGACGGCAAGTATCGGGAGCTATCCAGGCGAAAGAGGTTGTGCCCTGGCGTGCGACTATCTCCCTTCTAAGTTGAGCACATGCTTTGGCGGCGACGGACCATCCCTTTCATGATAGAAACCTTCCTTCCTTGTTGCTGCCGTTAGTCGTTCGAAGCATAAAATGAATACAAAAGGTAGCGTCTTGAAAACCGAAGCGAACGTGCTGTAAATGAATCTGGCTCAAATGATCCCCAAGTTTGGCAAATCTGTCAGCACTCATCTCCAGTTTTTGCCGTAGAAATTTCTTCGAGTCCAGCTCAAAGCCGCCTAATGGCACGCTGAATCAGCTTCTACCTCTCCGAACTCGATAGGGAAAGGACTGCAGTCTATAATGGTCAGAATAAACGCATGCGTCGTTTTCCTGCCTTGTTGCTTCCATCTGTGCGCTGATCGAGGACCTCGCGGAGTCTAGGGTCATGTCGATCTTCGTTTGCGTGATGTTGCCGTACGTGACGTTGCAGATTATCTGGCCGAGGATACTTGTGTTGCTGGTCGGGGCAGAAAGGACAAATATATCCAGGAGATGTATGAACCAAGCCATGTCTGTGGGGGTTAACCGTAATCAGTAACACACGGTTCAATTTTCGGATGGGAGTTGTCTCACCTGATCATCTCATTCTTCCTCTTAAAGCCTAGACCACCAGGCCCGCGAGGACAATCCTTGATAGGACAGAAATGAGTCCGCGTGTTAGAATGGACGTTCATATGGCTGTTTAACAAATATTGAGTGTGAAACGGTGCGGCAGTACACCCTTCAAACGTGCATTTGTAGGGGCCAAGTGAAAACCGAGCTAATGCTGCGGCATCGGAGGACGCTTCAGGTTGAGACTTCGATTGAGAGACAGAAGGGCGTTTCGTATGCGGTTTAGATCGATGCTCGGGCTCAGGTTCGGACCCAAGCTCAGACTCCAGCTCGGTGAGTTCTGAGAGTTCGGATTCGGTCTCAGACCCAGCCGCGGATTCGGCTTCGGTTTGGGATTCGGGTCGAGGAGGAAGTTCCAGATCAGGTTGGGACTGAGGCTTCGATCGAGCTGCAGGTTGAGGAGGAGGCTCAAGGGTAGGTTGTGGCTGAGCCTTTGATCGTGCTGAAGGTTGCGGAGCAGGTTCCAGGGCAGGTTGAAGCCGAGCTTTTAATTCTGCTGCAGGTTGAGGAGGCCGGGGTTTCGATCGAGCTGGACGTTGGAGTTGTTGAAGTTTCGATCGAGCTGCAGGTTTCGGTCGAGGTTTTGGTCGCGAGTCAGGTTGGGGCTGAGGTCTGGACCGGACTTCAGCGAATGATCTCAGGTCAGTCTCCTTGGTGAGAACTTGCTGCATCCTGCTCTCCTCCCCCTCGCCGTCCTCTAAATCCTGTTCAGCTAGAGCTGTCAACGACGAGGGACCCGAGGCTGCCGGAGATGGCGTGATGATGGACGAGGCTGGGGTCGAGACGGAGACGGAAGTCGACGAAGTATAGTCCGAAAATGTCGACGTGTTGGAATCGCGAGTCGTTGTCCGCCAGTTACTCTGCAACGGCGGATCCGGAGGTGACATGGCGGAATATGCTGTGTACGAAGCCGGAGACGCATACGATGCAAACTGGCTCGGTGAAGGCCTAGCCACGCCCGGGGATAGGCAGGTAAACCCCCCCATGCTCGAGTCATGGAGATCGCCAATGGCGATCTTCAGGGGCGGTAGCGTCATCCTGTACCCCGGTAGAGCTGCAGGCGAGGAACGTGGAGGGGACCTCTGTTGCATCGCTGGCAAGGTGAAATCTGGATGTCCATCGCGAGGCGATATCGCATACTTTCCCAGAATGGGTGACTTGAGGATTGAGTCGTCAACATGATTGCCATCACGAATGGCTGGAGCAAGATTCAACCGCAAGTTTGAAAACAATGGCCGCGTCCTTGGGGGTGGGATTGTGTCGAACTGCTTTCTCGACAGGTCTGCTGCTTGCCTCGTCGGAACATGGAAAGCTTGAGCCTCTTCGGGCTTGTACATATCATGCGTAGGCTGCGGGGGCGACCGCCCTGGTTCGTCTTCAGCCACAGTGGCTGGACTATCAATCATAGGAAAGTCGTCGTCGTCGTCCCGACCATTAGGATCTGCGTGCAAGGCCGTCCGCGCCACCGGCTTCGTTTTTATGGACACACAGTTTGGTCCATTCCGAATCACCCTTGTCGCCCTTCTGATCTCTCTGCGGCCAGCTTGAACCCCATTATCGTCGCCTTCGCCGTCGTGCTCTTCATCCTGTTCTCCTTCTCCTTCTCCTTCTCCTTCTCCTCCTCCTTCTTCCTCGTCGTCCTCTTCCTCTGCCGCTGATTGACTTCTCGAGTCCAACGGCCGTTTCCGTGCCTGGCTAGCTAGTATGCGTTGATTGGGATCTAAGGAAAGAATCAGTACGCCGTCGGCAAAGGTGCAGTTGGCTCGACTCTTCCGTATTCTAGAATTCCCCTGACGTCGTACCACTTTCGGGTCCTCCACATCCGAGGAGTCAGAAGAAGATGGGTCTTCGACGGGTACAAGGGGTGCAGGGCTGGCTCGGGGACCGTATTCTGGATTTACTGGCTCAAGTGCTGGACTTCGGAGGGGTCCAATGATGTCCCGCTCGAATTGGAAATAAGGATCTTGATCTTGGGACATGAGGAGCCCGACAAATCACATGGCAAACCATCCAACAAAGAGGCTGAGGCGACAGCGCTGAAAAGGACAGAGAGATTGGTGACTTTGAAGACAAAGGTCGTCTGTGATCGATGTCTCTGGATCATAAGCCATGTCAGTGCAAGGAACTTTCAACCTTACCAGTTTGGATACACTCCACCGGAGCGAGTGACATTGAATAATAGAAACTTGTGGACGTGCTATTGCTCCGTGTGCCAATGGACTGCTGGCTGTTCCAGCGCTCTGCAACAGGGACATGGTAGTGGGGAGGAGGGAGAGGAGAGGGGTTCGAAATCAAAAAGTTCCAGACCATGGTCAGGCGGGAAGGGAAAAAGTGGTGTCTTGCGTATTCGGCCAGATAGCGGCTGAAGATGGATGGAAATGCATTGGCCAGCGACGAAAGCAAAATTGGGGGAGGGGTGGTAAGATGCTCGCTCATACCGGGAAGCAAAATTGGTCGTTGCTGGCAAAGGCAAGGTGTGACCTGGTCAGTCGATGGAGGTTGCAAAGTGAGGGGTATAATCGTCACACAAGGGTCGAAATGAGGCTCTTGGAGGCTCTGATGAGAGGAAAGGACTGGCACCGGCAGTGTCGGGGCTGGAGGCACAGAAGTACGGTTCAACGCTCTTTTGTCTCGGATGTTTTGGGTCTGCTCGGAATCGGAGGTGGGAGGGGGAGGTGACGGGATAAGCGTAGACAAAGAGGAGCGGCTTTCGACTTGAAGGTATGAACAGGTGAGAGGACGACGTATGGCCGTCAAGGTTGCGAGGCTGTTGAATGCGGTGCGGAGCCGGAGCGCAGATAGAGAGGTTGGGATGCAAATTGACTCGTCAAAGTCACGTCTCCTCACCTCTCACCTCGCAGCTCGTCTGGCCTCCTTCCCGTCGTTCGTTCCTCAAGGTTTTGATGATGAGAGCAAAACGAATTGCCTGGAGCCTTGGGGAGGCTTAGCGTGGATGCGTAGCCAAGTGACAGCACAGCCCCTCGCAAACGCAACTTCGGGCGGAATACAAGGTTACAGGTTCCGTTGAGGGGAGGAGTAGGAATCGTGGATGGGATCGAGGATACAGGGAGCTCGGGTAGCAAGCGTGGTGCTGGATGGGATTTATCCTTGGCCTTTGTAGGGTCCATCAGGGCCATGGGGTGCTATTTTGCGAAGTCGAAGGTTTGGTGGCTGCTGGCTACTTGCTGCTGGCTACCGAGTACAGGAGAGATGGTTCATGAGCAGAGTGCGTTGTTGTGTAGCTAAATCAAGACTTGCTAGTCTCTGCCTACCTATTGCATTAGGGAGCCATGCACGGTCTGGCATTGCGGCGATTAATTAATGGAATGAAAAGGCCTGGTGGCCCATGGAGGCTCGCGGCACAGAAGCTGAGGCTCCCTCTGAGGAGGCTGGGCTTGGATGGCCTGGATGGGCGATTGCTAATGGGGATCAGTGGGGGACACGAGCCTCACTTATCATAGGCGAGAGACCCCCCCCCCAAGTCACCGACTCAGCGCCCCACACCAGAGAAGGCTGACGCCAATGAGGAGCCGGTCCAGGCACCCCCTTCAAAACCCTTCCATCCGATGGCCACGAGTTGACTCAGACTGCGCCCTGCCGTCATTCGTATGCCATTAGATCCAGTCCAAGGTTCGTTCATTTGACACCTGCGCACGAGCAGCAACTAACTACCCAGACAAGGAACTGCTCGAGCTTCGAGCCTGGGGAGCCGAACACTGCGCATGATCCCACGCACCAAGAAGCAACGATCCTACAATAGCAGGGCGCTGGCACCAGCAGCAACGCAGCAACCCGCTTTCTGCTTGTACCGGGTAGCACTAAAGCCATCATTTATTATTGGTGTCTTTGGCTGCCTCACCTCGCATCTCACAGATTGGGCGTCAAAATCACAATCCCCCAAAACCCAAAGTTGGCAGTGGTGGATTCCAACAGCGTTGCGAGGGAGCGAGGTGTGATGTGTCCTGTCCTACCCATCCTCTCTCTTCTTCCACTCTCCGAGCTCTCTTCCTTTGACTTTCCCACACTCCGTCGAATTCCGGCCTCTGCCTCCAATTCTCAAGTCCACTCAGATCATCAGAGCCTCATTCATGTGATTACATAGTCGACATCCGACCCTTTTTAGCTTCTCTGGACCGCCCCGCACTCGCAAGACAAACAGCTTGTAACCCGTTCACTTCTCCGGTCCTCTCGCTTAAATCTCTTGGGCGGGTAAAAAAGAAGGGAAAAACAAACAACTCGCGTCTTGGTCTAAATATGCAAGACGTACACTTGCCGGTTCGAATCGTTGAGCAGCCAAAGAAATCGAGTCGCGAGCACACTGCAAGTCTTCTTGTTCGCCGATGGCGGTTCCCCTCCAGTGACCAGCCCCAATCCTAATCCTACGCGAAGCCACAAAAATCTCTCACGCCTCCGCCGGCTACGGGTGCGCTAGCTAGGCTCAGAATGTAGCTTCCGGAGACCTACAGGACGTCGGAGAGCTAACAAGTGCTTCCACCGACCCCCTCGCGTGTCCTCTCCTAGTCTGGCTACAAAGACGAAGCTGAAAGAAAGGTCTTGCAATAGTGCTAGCAGCATAAGTGTTTCCGGCTTACTGCGAGGGTCATGGAGCAGCAAGGGATTGCGAACTACCTACGAGATACGGCCAATGGTGAGCGAACCATCTCCTACTTGGTACAAGTACCTAGGTAATACAGGTACATGTTTGGTGGCATGAAACCTAGCGTGGAAGCCTTATTCGCTCAGGATATTAAACAAAAAAAGGATCTTCTCGGCACGGCCTCCCACATTCTATGTAGAGTTCCAGGTGCGAACAAACATCGTCTAACATTCGCAGCGATCTATTCTTGCTTCCTCTGTGGTGCCTTTGTGGCAGAAAGTGTGACGAACATCTGCAGAAGGCCCAGTCACCTGTTTCGTTGACTCCACTGGTGAACCCGCGCTCGCCTATTCGATTCTTGTCCTTTTGGCCATTCCTGATTTCCACACCTCATGTCCCTGCAAGCAGGCCGTCGGATATCGCAGGGCGAATCTCGCTGAATTGTCGCTAGAGGTGTGGTTTAGCGAGGAGCCAGCGGCCCATCCCTTTGCGCCGCCCGCGCCTCCGTTGGCCCAGATTGGGCGAGAGGGCTCTCAAACAAGAGTGCAAAATAAGAAACCCATGCGAGCCCCCTATGGCAAAAGCGGTCGGCGTCCGAGTAGGGAGCGTCCACTACCTTCGTCTTCAGGATATATCCTTCACCCCAAAGTCCGATGAGGAAATATTCTGGGACTCGGAGCTCGTCCCCTGTCCCGCCTGACCGCTCATCTCAACGACGGGATCCTGATATTGGAGCCAAGCAGATTGGTGGCGAGATGGCTGGGTTGTGCAGTCAACGGCTGAGCAGCGGCCGTTCCGGGTCGTTTTCCTCGTTCGAGTCCTTCCACGTCCGTCCTTGGGCACGGTATAAAATATAATGTTGAAGAATGAAAAGCAGGTCAAACCCCATGCTGATGTTGGCAAGGCCCAGCTTCAGAGAATTACCAGTGATCCCACTCCAATCACCGCCGAAGCTCGCATCCAGGACAAGTTGAGCTATGGACAGCACGCCCCCAATGAGATCGAACAAGATTTGCACGATGCTCCAGCCTTCGGTCGATTGGCGCTTGTAGTTGAAGAAAGCCTGTGGGATGTACTTGACAAAGGTGCAAACGAGTTTGACATATCCCAATGTGTACAGCTGCGGGCGGCAATGGATGGTAAGCCAGTTGAGTCGAGCCAATAATGGAGCGCTGGGGAAGGGTATCTCACCACATCAATCCAAGCCCAGTCGAGTGGATCCTGCTTTTCCCGGCCTGAGCGAAGAAGAACCAACATGACCATGGCCGCAACGGCAAGAAGGCTCCCCCACACAACTGCCAACACGGGGCGAGTGGCTCGTTGACGAGGTGACACTTGAAAGCCCCATAACCGGGAGAAAAATTGCGAGTAGGTCAAGATGACGAGGACGACGGCATGCAGGCCAAAAGCAACATCATTCGACTGCACCGTCGGCTCTGGGGATGCTGGGTGCCTCAGGGCGTATTGTTGCCGGATCGTCGGCGAGTATAGGAAACAGCAGGTTGATATTGTGTAGCATACGAAGCCGAGGACGTTGAGAAGCGGAAAGTCGATAGCCAAGCCATGAGTGCTGCGGCGTTTCCAGTTCAGCCACGGTTGAGGATAGAAGGAAGCGCTCCAGGATAATGTGCTGTCGGGTGATTAGCGGTGTGGCCTTGCCAACACGATTGACGTCGCGCTCTCTCTTTCTCGATGAACTCACTAGATCCATCCTAAAAGCCTGGAGAAACGTATCGGTTAGTTTCCAGGACATGTATGCAGCTAGCTTATCCGGGCGTTGATAAGAGCGATTAATTTTTTCTTCATAACACTCCGTACCTTGACACCGCCTTTACAAAGCGAGCCCACTGCTCGGCATCAATCATGGTCGCTATGGAGAGGAGTTAGATGCGAATCTGGCGCTGGCGACGGCATCGACCTGGATAGTCGTGGAGTATTCGTGCTGATAGCCAATGTCGAAGAGTGATCGATGCCCAAGACGGGAGTTGCCTCCAACCGCATGGACGTAGTACAATCATTGTACAAACCCATTTCCGACATTCTCCACCTCGCCGTGGATCCCAGCAAATCCCGCCCAGTGACCCCCCTCTCCATCCAGCTGGCGAAAAGGGTATTTGCTGTTCGGCCTCCCCCCGGGGTCCCTAGACCTTCAACGAGTCACGCTGCACTTGCCATCCCAGCACACCTGTGAAGTTCTAGGCTCTCCGTACGAGGCTCACTATAGGTAGGCATAGCGCCTTGCTCCCCAACTTCACACCACCGAAAACACGAGTCTGTCCAATCATCCCACTTAAAACTGTGTATCAGTCGTTGTCCGGTGTTCGATGTACAAGTCATTCCTCTTCAATGCTACCATTTGTCCCGTATTTTTTTTTTCTTCTT